AATTCATGTTAATTTGTGTTGGAGTTTTATAAGTCGTTTACAACATTCGCGTCCGTGTTGTATGGGAATTACAATCTCTCGCCTGCGTCTCGAGATTGTAATTCCCATACAACACGGCACGGCCGCTCATGTTGTAAACTATACTTATGATAGGCTCAGGTTTACTGGTGGTATTTACTATTAAGTTTACAAATGATGGGAAATAAAGTGCTTTAAATGTTCTGTTCACTCCGAAGTACTTACGAACTCCTCCGAAGTTCTTACGAACTCCTCCGAAGTACTTAGGAAATCCTCCAAAGGACAATGGTGAAAAACGCACAGTGCATGCCCACAGCTTTCCCGCCAGTGGGCGCTCGCGTATTGAAATCTGTAAACAGAGCGCCTGACGATTTACAGCGACAACACAGAAAACACTACGAAAAACCTCATTTTCTCAAAATAGAAATAACAAGATAAAAATACTGAGAAACTACATACTAAAAGGACCTATCATGAACAATGATTGATGGAAATATGAATCTTATATATCGGTGAACGAGCTTATAAATTTCCCAAAAATCGCTTTACAAAGGAAATTAGTCAGATTTAGCGGTAAAGCTGTGGACATGTCCAGTGTGTTTTTCACCAGTGCCCCTCCAAAGTACTTACGAAGTCCTCCGAACTATTTACGAATTCCTCCGACACCGCGAAAATTACTGAAACGCACGCAAAACTTATAGCAAATGCACAGTTTCCACACGTTGACAAAGTATTATCTGTAAAACTACTCACCCACTTTGTGATTGAATTTTTCGCAAGAGTTGAGTTTCGTTTTCCCTGCAATTGCAAATTAATTTATATTTTTAAAATTTAGTTTTGCTTTATTTCAAATCGTTATCCCTTCTCTGTATTCTGGTGTTGCATCTTTAATACCTTCATGATTATTGACGATGTGCAGACCTTGGTATTAGTTGGATTTAATCCACAAAACCTTTCTTCATTTGACCTCATGATCACCACAAGTGAAGTGAAGCAGAGCAAAAAGGCGATGTAAATCGATAGATTGAAAAAGAACGTCATCCAGCCGAATTTTTTCCTGCGAGGAAAGAAAAATTGGCATATGGATCTGTTTATCTTAAATTACCCACGGCATATTCCATAAATTCTCATAAAAGTCAATTAATGGAAATCAAAGATGGTGGATGAACAAGTTGAAAGTGTTAATTATGAAGTTTATTTTACCATTTTATCTGCATTAGGAAGAAGCACACGGGATG